ACCACACGACGAAGCGGAAACGTGAGAATGAAACACGTCGGAGCGTTTGAACCACACGACGAAACAGAACGAAACACTTCGAAGCGTTTGAACCACACGACGAAACGGAACGAAACGGAACGAAACGCGTTGAAGCGTTTGAACCACACGACGAAGCGGAAATGTGAGAACGAAACACGTCGGAGCGTTGGAACCACACGATGAAACAGAACGAAACACTTCGAAGCGTTTGAACCACACGACGAAACGGAACGAAACGGAACGAAACGCGTTGAAGCGTTTGAACCACACGACGATGCGGAAACGTGAGACCGAAACACATCGAAACATTTAAACGACACGACGAAGCGGAAACGTGAGAACGAACACATCTAAGCATTTGAACCGCACGACGAAGCAGAAACGTGAGAACGAAACACGTCGGAGCGTTTGAACCACACAATGAAACAGAACGAAACACGTCGAAGCATTTGAACCACACGACGAAGCGGAAACGTGAGACCGAAACACATCGAAACATTTAAACAACACGACGAAGCGGAAACGTGAGAACGAACACATCTAAGCATTTGAACCGCACGACAAAGCAGAAACGTGAGAACGAAACACGTCGGAGCGTTTGAACCACACAATGAAACAGAACGAAACACGTCGAAGCATTTGAACCACACGACGAAGCGGAAACGTGAGAACGAAACACGTCGGAGCGTTTGAACCACACGACGGAATGGAACGAAACATGTTGGAGCGTTTCAACCACACGATGAAACAGAACGAAACACGTCGGAGCGTTTGAACCACACGACGAAACAGAACGAAACACGTTGAAGCGTTTGAACTACACGATGAAGCAGAAACGTGAGAACGAAACACGGAGCGTTGAAACCACACGACGAAATGGAACGAAACACGTCGCAGCGTTTGAACCACGCGACGAAACAGAACGAAACACGTCGGAGTGTTTGAACCACACGATGGAATGGAACGGAGCATTTGAACCACACGATGAAACAGAACGAAACACGTTGAAGCGTTTGAACCACACGATGAAGCAGAAACGTGAGAACGAAACACGGAGCGTTGAAACCACACGACGAAATGGAACGAAACACGTCGGAGCGTTTGAACCACGCGACGAAACAGAACGAAACACGTCAGAGCGTTTGAACCACATGACGAAACAGAACGAAACACGTCAGAGCGTTTGAACCACATGACGAAACAGAACGAAACACTTCGGAGCGTTTGAACCACACGACGAAACAGAACGAAACACGTCGGACCGTTTGAACCACATGACGAAACAGAACCAAACACGTCGGAGCGTTTGAACCACATGACGAAACAGAACGAAACAC